GTGTCCGTTTGTCCATCCTGTTACATTTACAATACCTACCCACTCGGACAAAGTTCAAAAATTTAGTTACTTGTCTTAAATTATTGTGAATGAGGTCTTAATTTTTTACCCCACAACAGTATATAGTCAACATATCAATTTGCAATTTGTAAAAAATAGCAGGAAAAATAGCATCACATTTAAATTTATATATTTTATAATTCTATTTTCTGTTGATATTTCAACTACAAATGTATTTAAAAAAATATATCCAGAGTCAGTGGCCTATTGTCATGATGATTCTAACTACCATAATCGTATTTTATTAAAAAAAAGAAACGTTATTGTGAGTGGCAGTCTTTGTAAACACAAAGTTGATGTTATTTGTTCCTGGGACCAACCAGTACTTAATTATCAATGAGTGAAAAGTTTCTTGCTTACAGAAATAAAGACTTTCCCCTTATAGTATGCATCATTACAATATTAGTAAGATTTGCCTTGCTAGAGACTCTTTGAACTCACCAGGTTCTATAGAATTATAAACTTGTGTCTGATCCTACATGTAAATGTATTAAATTCTGTTTTCTATCTTAATATATGTATATTGCTATTTGCCAATATACAAAATGTAAATAAAACACAATCTGTATACTGACTTTGCTCACCTGCTGTAAGTGGTATTTGTACATACACAAACTGCTTTTTTAAAGGTACATGTGCTTAATTTAATACTACAAGGAAGAGAAATGTTGATTAAATCACATTCTTTAACCGATTCATAGGCTGTAAACATGATGATGTTAATCATATGAATATTTTGATTGAAGAGAATTTATGAGAAATTTGAATAAGTAAGAAAAAATTGAAATAATGTAATTGAATATTATAAGTTTAAAGTTAAAAATCATGACCCTCCTGGCAGAATTGGTTAACATATTACCTGGTAAACCAATGGTTTACATATTTAATACAATATTGAAAGGCAGATAATCCTAAAAACATTTTTTTTCAAAAAGTTATGCACCTTTTCTAAAGAAATATCAAAGGTTTTTCTTTTCAAACTTTCAATACTTGTTCAGTATCAAAATTAAAATGCATTTCAAAAGGGCAGGCAACCTTTTTGGCCAGTAATTTCCTTTTTCATCATTTGGGTTTAAACCTTTTAAGCTACATTTCTCGATAGAGTCCTACTTGCCACGTTTTTGCTAAGAAAATCTTCCAGTGGTTATATCTTGACAATTTAGTTAAATCATTAAATCTGTTCAACAAGAAGCTGACTGGTGGTTTGACTGCATGAAGAGCTCGCATTTTTATCTGGTGATATAATATACATGTATACGCATGTATATGTAAATAAAATGTGAACATTTTCAGGCATTCATATTCTATGCAAAGGGAAAGGACACATAGAATGGGAAGATGGGGACTCAACAACTAAGGATTCAGAAACATATGTAAATGTGATGCTCACACTTTATAATGGCAATGGTAAGGGTTCTCATTTTTATAGTTATAGTAAAATTACATTCATGCATTTTGCTTTAATGGTTTTAAGGTGTGCGAGTGAAATGCCGTGGAAAAGGTCACATATATTGGTCAGAAGGATCGGGGGACAACAGACGGACATATAGTGCCTCGGAAGATTATGTTGATGTTGTGCTACCACTCTATGGCAATGGTGAGAGTGGATTTATTTTTGTTTTGTTTTTTTTAAGCCTAAAGAAACTTTTGGAAGTACTGTATAAGTGGTTCATTTTGCAACATGGAAATATTTGTGATTTTTGCAAATTGAAATTATTCGCAAATATTTGATCGTACAAAAATCATTTCTTTTTATAGGTAAAATTTCTTCTATCATTTGAAAACACATTTTCATACAGCATCTTACATTAGTCAGTTTGACTGTTCAGGTACTGAGATTAATTTTTTTTCATTGCTTATTTTTTTTATGTTTGTTGTAACAAATCACAAATGTTTAAATGAAACAATATACATTGTATGTGTAAATATCACAATTTATGTTATTCATATAACAAAAACATGAAAAAGAAGTCTTCAAAATATGATGAAGAATTGTGAGATCAGGTCCTTTAATACGCTTTATCTAACTAACAATGTATATTTCAAACAAATTATTATATAAATATATAGATAATAAAGGTATTAAACAACTGAATAGAATGATTACAATAACGACATATTCTTATTCTGCTTAATAATATCACAAAAACAGTAAATTCAAGAAGTCATATTTTGGCAAATATTTCTGCACGCAAAAATGTCCACTTTTTTTACATTGGAAAAATTTTTGTTGCTCATAGGTATCCACTTATACAGTATTATGGTATAGTGTTGTCCATTGGTCTGTCCGTCCGCACTACCAAATATGGATAGGGGCCAATCTTACTGTAAACAGAACAAAAGAATTCATTAATATAAATCCATAACAATAAAATAAGGCGCCAATGGCCCTCTATTAGACCAAAGAATAACAATAGAAATGGCTTCTTATCCCACTTTGGTCGCAAATCATGTCTGTCCATACAAACACAGAGGTACTTGGATGACTAGGAAAACAATAGGTAATAGTACATTTTCTTTGATCCTAACCATTCCGATTTTACTTTTTTGTCTTTTTTAAGGCCTTGTGTGACTAAAAATGACAAAAAGATCAAATGAAAAGTCACACAAGTACCATTTTGTAAGCATGTCTGTCCTTAGACAATTGGTTTCCACAGGATAAGTTTGAAGGGTTTTAATGACTGTGTTTTGTTTGGCATGACTGTGTTTAGTGTTTATATTTGGCATGACTGTGTTTATATTTGGCATGTAAGCATGTAATATCAAACACAGGTCTAGTTATGTTAGGCTTCAATCAACTGATTATTAGTAGTGATGCCCTTTTTAAGCAATTTGTAATTGAAATTATTGGTTTAATTCTGCAGAATAACTTTTGAATGAGCAATTTGTAATTGAAATTATTGGTTTAATTCTGCAGAATAACTTTTGAATGAGCAATTTGTAATTGAAATTATTGGTTTAATTCTGCAGAATAACTTTTGAATGAGCAATTTGTAATTGAAATTATTGGTTTAATTCTGCAGAATAACTTTTGAATGAGCAATTTGTAATTGAAATTATTGGTTTAATTCTGCAGAATAACTTTTGAATGAGCATTTTGTAATTGAAATTATTGGTTTAATTCTGCAGAATAACTTTTGAATGAGCAATTTGTAATTGAAATTATTGGTTTAATTCTGCAGAATAACTTTCGAATGAGCAATTTGTAATTGAAATTATTGGTTTAATTCTGCAGAATAACTTTCGAATGAGCAATTTGTAATTGAAATTATTGGTTTAATTCTGCAGAATAACTTTCGAATGAGCAATTTGTAATTGAAATTATTGGTTTAATTCTGCAGAATAACTTTTGAATGAGCAATTTGTAATTGAAATTATTGGTTTAATTCTGCAGAATAACTTTTGAATGAGCAATTTGTAATTGAAATTATTGGTTTAATTCTGCAGAATAACTTTTGAATGAGCAATTTGTAATTGAAATTATTGGTTTAATTCTGCAGAATAACTTTTGAATGAGCAATTTGTAATTGAAATTATTTGTTTAATTCTGCACAATAACTTTTGAAGGATTTCAGTAATGGTGTTTATATTTTTCTTGTACACATGTAACTATGTATTTTATATCAAAACTCATGTCAAGTCCAATTTTGTCTGCAAACAGCTCATTATTAATAAAGTTATGCCCCTTTTTAAGCAACTTTCTAGTGAAACTATGAGTGTCTGCAGCAAAAATTTTGAAGGATTTCAGTGAAAATGCTTATATTTGGGGTGTAAGTATGTTATATTAAAAAAAAACTTGTCAAATGTGATTAAAAAAATCAAAAAGGGACAAAACTCTATTAATAATCAGTTGATTGCAGCCAAATTAAACTTGTCCTGGGTTTTGATCTTTAGTGAACAGTGGTTCTAAGCGCTAACAATCGGCCAACTGCATTCATTTAAATAGATAAATAAGTAAGTAAGTAAGGTGAGGTGATGTTAGGTGAGGGGAGGGGAGGGGAGGAAGGAAGGAAATAAATAAATAATAATTTTGGGGATTAAATCCACTTGTTTTTGAAATGACTAAATATTAATGCCAGTAAACTTTCTTGTGTAAACATTTGTGCATATATTTTAACCTCATTTGCAGGCATGATTTTCATATTATCTTCAGAGAGTATTACATAATTAAGTAAAGAAATAGAATACTCACATACAGCTGTAATAGTTTTTCAAATGAATACATGACTGTTATGAACTATTGTTTCATAGTATTACCCCTCATTTTTTGTGTAATGTTAATTTCCCATAGGCCACTGGGAGTTATTTATACTGTTAATGCACAATATTGACCTGGCACTACATTAACTTCCGTAAAGGTCATTTGATTAAACACTGACCAGTATCTATCAAATAAACTGATATATTTGCTAATTTCACCCATCAGTGAGGTGTTGAGTATTGGTATTGACGTCGCACGACTGATCTGAATGTCTCTGGTTCGATTCCTTGCCAACACCATGTTATGATTTTTTTTATTCACTTGCAAGAATTTATTTGAAATCGTTTTATTACACTGGTTTTAGAATACCTTTTAAGTGGTGTTTTTATCCACAATTATATTTTTTATTTCATTACAGTATCTATCAACGATTTCTTTGTGACATTATGCAATCGTACATGATTTAGCGAATACACGCTATAAAGGCAGTTATTAAATAATACTTCATAGATAGTACACACAACAAAATTGTTTACAATAGTTTCTAGAGAATGGCAAAGGGAAGTCTCTGAATACCAGTTCATGCCAACATTCCCGGGTGTACATGTACATGGAGTATTGGAACAAAAGTATGGATTTTTTTCCAGGGTATTCCATGTGTCTGCCAACCATAGAGGCTGGACTTTTTACCATGGTAAATAGTCCAGCCTTGATGGAATAACATGGAAAAAAATCCAGCCTAATTCCAGCCTCCCTGAATGTTCTTAAAATTTAAAATTCTCTGACGGAATTCAGCACAGGAATGTTTTGGGTGGAATTTTTATTAGTTTAACATGATAAAATATTTCTTTCACAAAATTTAATACATATCCTTTAGTCCAAATACAGAATAGAACATCCTACATTCACTATAGCACAAACAGTTTTTTTTCTAGCTGCAGGTTTGGTAGCTAGGTTCATGTTGTCTTATAAATTTTAGCAATTATTTTGCTCTTAATCTGTCAATGAGAAACTAGCTGTTTTAATCTTAAATTTGTTTCAAGTGTTTCTGATTATTTAAATTACTATTTCTTTTATTGATGTCCATTTTCAGTCCTCTGCCTGTGTTTCCTAGAACTTCTTGTGGTTGTGCTCACCTTAAAAGATAAAATTCATAATAAATTTAACACAGATGTGGTAATGACTTATGTTTTATTGCATATAAATATTATGCAGTTATATATCGTATCTTTTAATAACATCAAATCTAATGTTTCAAATGTATTAACTATTAAATATTAACTATGCTTATGCATATTCAAAAATACTAAAGCAATGCAGTATATCTTATTTCAAAGTGCACACTTGTGTTTACATGTATAAGAATTAAGTCAATTTGTGACAATACTTATCACCCAGTATGTATTTTTTCAAGAAAAGACATGGAATAAAAAAGTACACGTATTGAGATTTAAAAATATACCTTTTCAGGATTAATACTGCACATCATTATTAAACACTGTTGGTAATTCTCACAGTCAGCACTTATGTCCCAGCCTGCAAGTTATGTAATTGTATAATGTAAAATGTAATTTTAGATTGTTCCATTGAGAACACAACACATACATGTAAATAACAAATGATTATGATGACCCTGTTCAGCTGTACAAAACTACTGATTGTACCATTTAGTCCTATTTAATCAAATTGTTTTAATTTGTTTTATTTGTAGGAATGAAAAAGATCTACTAACAATTGTCGTTTTAACAATATACATTATAAAGAAATCATTGAATAAATTATATTTTACATATTATACATGTATAGATTAAAAACAATTATCAGAAAAACAAATGCATGAAGTTGAAAATATAAAATCAACCTTGATCTTGTGTTACAAATGTTGAAAGTTTGATAATTATATAACCTGTTTCTGCATTGATGTAACTTAAGGTTTATAAATACCTGATTCTGTTGTATATCTCTTTGTCCCAGGTGATTCTAATTGTTATCATACCAATACTTAAACACTTTAAAGTCTTAAACAAAACAATATCTCCAAAACTGCTAAAATATCAAGTACATCCATTTGCACTCTTTGCTGACCCAGATATCTTAGAATTCAAAATTTACAACAGTTACTGGACAGGTCTATCATTATGTAAAGCAGGGTTTATCTGCTCATCATTTTAACTTTTATTCTTTGAGGGTAAAAGAAAATATCAAATAGCTAATAGATATATAGGTTTTAAAGATCATTACAAATTTTTGTACAAAAAAGATTGCAATGTCCTTCTAGACACATTCTTCATATGAAATTTATAATGTTATTTCTCCCCAAAATAATCACATGGAACAGCCTGATCTGAAATGACCAGTGGAGTAAATTAGTCATGCACAGATGGTTAGAAAATGCTGGTCAATGAGTTTTATCAGAGCTCTGATCTGTGTAGTGTAAAATCTCTGTGGATGTAGTATTTATTTTCCTAAATATTGGTCAATTTAATATAGAATATATAATTATGAGATTCTTTCATGCACTGTTTTGTTTATTTATTTATTGTTATCCAAAAACATGAATTCTTACAATTTAAAAATGGCAAGCAATGCCATCCCATCTTGATTATTATAGTGTCTGAATGATTTAATCACAGACTTTAATTAATTTATAGTTAAACTTAAAGCCTGTAATTAAATGGATATTATTTCATTGTACATAACTTCATGTAGATTTATTTAAATAATAATATGTATTTTGAACAATCAATTCATTTATGTCTTTAGCATATATAGACATTTTTCTGAGATACCCTTTTTCAACTACCGTACATAAAAAGTATAAAGTGTCAAATTTCAAATCATTTACAGTAACTTGCATTAAAATAAATGATGATTGTATATTTTCTTCCTAAATTTACAATATTGTGCTGAATATATAAAGTAAGATTTCTTTCAATTTTTACAAGTTTTTTCCAGCATACTTAGAGAAAGTTTAACACATTTCCAGCATCAAAAAAAATCTAAGTTCAACTTTCCATGCTACATGGAAGTAAAGTCCATGGTTTTCCAGGCTTTTACCACAAATATCCAGCCAATTTCCAGCCTATTCCAGCAATGCTGGAAATGGCTGGACAAAAAAAGTCCACATAGCATGGAAAAAATACCAATTTTCCATGAATTTCCATGAAATTCCATGCTTTTCCATAGTTTTCCAGGGTTTACCAGCCTCTCTTCCAGGCTTACCCTGAAAAATCTACACCCGGGTTCTTCAAGTGGAACCCCTTCACCAACTGCGCTGAGGGAGATTTTCAATTTACACCATTTAACAATTGGATATTTTCATTCATGTCGATTTATAAATAGATCCTAATGATTACTGAATATATCGGCATCAGGGTCAAATGCAAGAGTGCCAGGTCAATGTTGTTAGATAATACCATTTGACTAAGAAATCTGTACTGTTACAGGGTAACAGTATTTTTTAACAGTATAAAATCTGGTCACATGGTCTATTTTCTAAATAAAATAAATAGAGGATATTTGTTTAGGTCAGTGTAAGATCGGAATATATTTCACCATGTGAGCACCAAAAGGTATATTTCACAAGTGGCGCAGCAACAAGTGAAATATGAACTTTTGGTGTTCACAAGGTGAAATATATTTCGATCTTACACTAAACTAAACAAATTTTCTTTTTACTCTATGCAAAGAAATGTTTTAAAAAGACATTAAACCTAATACTGAATGAAAAGCGCGCCAAATAATAATACAATGTGACGTCATTTACGATGTCACGTCATTTAGTTGGTATCCAATTCTGTGCACGCTGGTATTTCACTGAAACAACATAAGGGGCTTAAATTCAAAACAGTGAAATTTTCAAAGTTTTATTAACCAGGTTTTCAACGAAAACCGGGTTATTGTAATGCCGAAGTCGGCGGGCGGGCGTCATTTTTTGGTTTTCCGCTCAATAACTTAAGTTTGCTTTGGCCTATTGACACCAAACTTGGTGTATGGATAGCTTATATCAAGAGGCAGCTTGGGATAGCTATCCAGGTGTCTGTGATCAAGGTCAAGGTCACTGTTACTTAAAATAGAAATTCAGTTTCTGCTCAATAACTTGAGTTTGCTTTGGCCTATTGACACCAAACTTGGTGTATGGATAGCTTATATCAAGAGGCAGCTTGGGATTGCTACCCAGGTGTCTGTGATCAAGGTCAAGGTCACTGTTTCTAAAAATAGAAATTCAGTTTCCGCTCTATAACTTGCGTTTGCTTTGGCCTATTGACACCTAACTTGGTGTATGGTAGCTTATATCAAGAGGCAGCTTGGGATTGCTACCCAGGTGTCTGTGATCAAGCTCAAGGTCACTGTTACTAAAAAAAGAAATTCAGTTTCCGCTCAATAGCTTGAGTTTGCTTTGGCCTATTGACACCAAACTTGGGTGTATGGATAGCTTATATCAAGAGGCAGCTTGAGATTGCTACCCAGGTGTCTGTGATCAAGGTCAAGGTCACTGTTACTAAAAAAAGAAATTCAGTTTCGTCTCTATAACTTTAGTTTGCTTTGGCCTATTGACAGCTAACTTGGTGTATTGATAACTTATATCAAGAGGCAGCTTGGGATTGCTACCCAGGTGTCTGTTATCAAGGTCAAGGTCACTGTTACTAAAAATAGAAATTCAGTTTCTGCTCATTAACTCGAGTTTGCTTTGGCCTATTGACACCAAACTTTGTGTATGGATAGCTTATATCAAGAGGCAGCTTGGGATTGCTATCCAGGTGTTTGTGATTAAGGTCAAGGTCACTGTTATTAAAAATAGAAATTCAGTTTCTGCTAAATAACTTTTGCCACCAAACTTGATGAATGGTTAACTTATATAAAGAGGCAGCTTGGGATTGCTACCCAGGTGTCTGTGATCAAGGTTAATGTATTTAGTTTTTAATGTTATAACTTCAGTTTGCTTTGACCTTTTGACAGTAAACTTGCTGAGTGGCAGCTTTGGATTGCTACTTAGATATCTGAGAGCAAGTTCAAGGTCATTTGCTTACAATAGAATTTTCAGCTTTACTCATTAACTTCAGTGTACTTTGACCTATTGATTGCTGTCACATCAAAATTTGGTTGTTGAAAACCTGGTTTTCGTTGCATTGCGGCGCTTCTTGTATCACTGATATATTTCTATAAACCACCGAAAAGCATGTAATAAAATAAAATCATCGTAAAAAAATCATCACATTTATTGTTCGGGGTAATAAAATCAATAACAGTGAGTAACAGTAAAAATATCATCTTAAGGAAAATACTGTTACCCGAAGCGTTACGCACAAACCCATGTGTTATTTATATAATATTCCTGACAAACATGTACAATGTGTACATGTTTTAATGATATGAAATGTTTTAGAATTGTTGCACTGTCAATCTGTAGCTTCAATTTGTGGTTTTATTTTAGCTGGTGAAGATATTACCCTACATGCTGGGAACCATTTGTTCCCATTTCAATTTGTACTTCCCATTAATATACCGGGGTCGTTTGAGGGGAAATCCAGTTGCTATGTACGATACTGGCTGAAGGCAAATATAGACCGACCATGGAAGTTTGATCCTGAATACAAGATGCTATTCACTGTTGGCTCTGTTTTAGATCTGAACACTCAAGCGAATGCCATGGTTTGTTTATATATTTATTATTATGTTTATTGTACTGGCAAAGAATGAATGATTAGTAATCTTCTATACTTTTAAGAATCAGTATTCTCAGGAAAAGTTTAAATTGATTTTACTTTCACTATATTGAATTTGGATAAAACATGACTGTGCTTTGCTTGTAATGTAAGACCACTGTTTTTAAATTGAACAGATTAAATATTGAATTCTTAAATCAAATAGGTATCAGTATAGCTTTTATTGAGGTGCAGGGAGGCCTAATCTTAGTCTGTAGCCATATTCAAAGCATTAGCACTAGATTCAGAAAGTAAAAGTTTAATGATATAAAGACATTTTTCACTAACTGGTAGATCAGTAGTACCAGATGATTATCAACAAAAGATAATTAAAAAAAAAACATGTACCTTACATTTTATTTAGTGTTTCACAAAATCATTTATGAATTCTATTTTTATAAAGATGGAAAACAATAGAATAGGTCATACATGTTATATATACAAATGAAAGTTGAAACTGGGACATACAATAACGTACTATGTCCCAGGTTGAAAGTTTTGTCAAATTTTACATTGAAACTAACTTACTATTACTATTGACATCAGCAGTGAAACAATTTCCTAATATGCATTAATCTACCAGATCCATAGGGAGTCTGATTGTTGCTAATCAATAAATAATTAACAGAAATAGCTGAAAAATATAACTCCCCATAGGGAGTCTGATTGTTGCATTTCAATAAATAATTAACAGAAATAGCTGGAAAATATAACTCCCCATAGGGAGTCTGATTGTTGCATTTCAATAAATAATCAACAGAAATAGCTGGAAAATATGACTCCCCATAGGGAGTTTGATTGTTGCATTTCAATAAATAATCAACAGAAATAGCTGGAAAATATGACTCCCCATAGGGAGTTTGATTGTTGCATTTCAATAAATAATCAACAGAAATAGCTGGAAAATATGACTCCCCATAGGGTTTGTTTGTTTGTTTGTTTGTTTCATTTTACGCCTTTTCCCAACAGTATTTCAGTCATATAGGCGGGTAGTTTCCTAACCATCGTTCCTGGAGAGTTACACCAGTACTAGACTACCTTCCTCCGTGCTAAACTACCAAAGCATCTCCCGGGGATCGAACCCACGCCAGAGAGTCCCCATAGGGAGTTTGATTGTTGCATTTCAATAAATAATCAACAGAAATAGCTGGAAAATGTGACTCCCCATAGGGAGTCTGATTGTTGCATTTCAATAAATAATTAACAGAAATAGCCAGAAAATATGACTCCCCATAGGGAGTCTGATTGTTGCATTTCAATAAATAATCAACAGAAATAGCTGGAAAATGTGACTCCCCATAGGGAGTCTGATTGTTGCATTTCAATAAATAATCAATAGAAATAGCCGGAAAATATGACTCCCCATAGGGAGTCTGATTGTTGCATTTCAATAAATAATTAACAGAAATAGCCGGAAAATGTGACTCCCCATAGGGAGTCTGATTGTTGCATTTCAATAAATAATTAACAGAAATAGCTGGAAAATGTGACTCCCCATAGGGAGTCTGATTGTTGCATTTCAATAAATAATTAACAGAAATAGCCAGAAAATATGACTCCCCATAGGGAGTCTGATTGTTGCATTTCAATAAATAATCAACAGAAATAGCTGGAAAATGTGACTCCCCATAGGGAGTCTGATTGTTGCATTTCAATAAATAATTAACAGAAATAGCTGGAAAATGTGACTCCCCATAGGGAGTCTGATTGTTGCATTTCAATAAATAATTAAGATCTGATTGTTGCATTACAATAAATAATTTACAGAAATAGCAGGAAATATGACTTCCCATAGGGAGTCTGATTGTTGCATTTCAATAAATAATTAACAGAAATAGCCAGAAAATATGACTCCCCATAGGGAGTCTGATTGTTGCATTTCAATAAATAATTAATAGAAATAGCCGGAAAATAGGACTCCCCATAGGGAGTTTGATTGTTGCATTTCAATAAATAATTAATAGAAATAGTCGGAAAATATGACTCCCCATAGGGAGTCTGATTGTTGCATTTCAATAAGTAATTAACAGAAATAGCCGGAAAATATGACTATCCATAGGGAGTCTGATTGTTGCATTTCAATAAATAATTAACAGAAATAGCCAGAAAATATGACTCCCCATAGGGAGTCTGATTGTTGCATTTCAATAAATAATTAACAGAAATAGCCGGAAATATGACTTCCCATAGGGAGTCTGATTGTTGCATTTCAATAAATAATTAACAGAAATAGCTGGAAAATGTGGCTCTTAAAATCCCATATAACTGATAATGATATATGTATTAATGTGAATGCTACTTGTATGATCTATTAAGTTTATTAAGTTATGAAACTTGTTGAAAAACAGTTGAAAAAAAAACAGTATGTAACATTTATGCATTAGACATTATGAATTTATTAATGAATCTATTGATACATAATTATACTTTTATACAAAAGTGAGCTAGAAAGTCTGCCTACTAAGTATATCTAAAATTCTATCGAGACATCTAAATTCAAAACGATTTTGAATGGTTTTATCGAAGAACTTATTCATTAAAAGGAAACAATAGATAGACTATTTTGTAACAAATTTTAATGAGGTGACATAATTTTACTTCAGATGCAAATTACAGGCAAATATACTTGTTATGAAGACCAAAATACGCATTCCAAATATTTTGATAATTATTATTTCTTCTTGCAGTCACCACAACAAAGTAATGACTCTAAGACAGTTTGTTGTTGCTGTTGTGAGAGCCAGCCAATCACAGCAACATTTCGTATTGACAGGACAGGCTACGTGCCGGGAGAATCTATTTGTTGTAATGCTGAGATAAATGAGGGCACTGGTAGAGGAGTCCACAGTTCAAAGGTCAAACTTATGATGGTAAGTTACAAACACAACAGGTTCATTTTGTATGTTTGAAAATTAGCAACAATCAACCTCTTATTTTTAGCTCGACTATTTGCAGAATAAGCAAGCTAATGCAGTCACCCATTTGTCGGCGTCGGCGTCCCAGTGGTAAAGTTTTTGCATGTAAGCTGGTATCTCCATAACTACTGAAGGGAATGGATTGAAACTTCACACACTTGTTCCCTGTGATTATCTAAGATGATAAGCACAAGTCCCATAACTCTGATTTGCTTTTTCACATAATTATGCCCCTTTTTCAACTTAAAAATTCTTGATTAAGTTTTTGCGTGTAGGCTGGTATCTCCATAACTACTGAAGGGAATGGATTGAAACTTCACACACTTTTTTTCTGTGATTATCTAAGATGAATGGCACAAGTCCCATAACTCTGATTTGTTTTTTTTTGCATAATTATGCCCCTTTTTTGACTTAGAAATTCTAGGTAAATTTTTGCTTGTTAGACATTATCTCCATAACTACTGAAGGGTTTGTACCTTTTTGGATAATTTTATGTATTCATATAGGTAAGCATTATTATACTCAATGAAACACCCTTGTGACAACTTTTTGAGTAGTCGAGCGTTACTGTCCTCCGACAGATCTTGTTAAGAATTAAGATTACAAATTTTTGTTGGCTTTGACTTGTTTTGCTGCCCTAACAGGGTCCTAATTTAATTAAATCCAATCAAAGATCGAAGCAAGGTTCTAACCTAGAAAGCTTCTGATATCTTAAGGTTCTGACTTAAAAAGATCCTGATTTGATAAGGTCCTGACTCAGTTAGCTTTATTTTACTACTGCAAATTACATAGCAGGAGTTTTAAGTCCAATCTGACTGTTAATATGTAAATTTCCTCCGAGGGCTTAATTAAGCAAAAAAAAACAACTATGGGTTTTATTCTTAATTGACATGTGCTGAAATGTTTTAGAAAACTACTTATCGCACTCATGGTGGCTCTAAGACGAAACAGACTACAGAAGTTGCCCGTCTAGAGCATGGCAGCATTACACCTGGAGGCTCGGATATTTGGAGTGGTGAGAGGATTCAGGTGCCACCAGTACCTCCATCTTTCTTACCTTACTGCAATATCATAGAAATAGACTATTACGTAGTGGTAAGCAATATTTGGTAATCATATTTTTTTTCCAATTTAATGTTGCATGATTAACTGCAGTTCTAGCTTGTAAAGGTTCTCTATTATTTTGACTTGTATTTAGTGATGAATTAATACTTTTGTTATAGTATCAATTTGAAAACCAAATACATGTACTGTGGTAGTAAATGTTAGTGTTACTCTTTGCCTAAGACACATCTGAATGTAAATTGTTTGACCCATTTTAAGCTGTATTTGTCTTCAACTATCCCCAAGAAAACTATACGTTTAGCTTAAATTTATATAAATTTAGTTAGTTAATCTTTT